ATAAAAAGGAAAAAGTTTCATAGTGCACATCAACCTGAAGATTCATTAGATGTTAATTTATCTACAAAATCTGTCAGTTATTTCGAAGATTTATGTAATGAAATTATTTATGAAATACTTGAATATTTTGACTTCGATTATATTTATGAAACTTTTTCGAGTCTTAATCAACGATTTGTAAATCTTATTATCAATTCAAATCTTCCAATTAAAATCAATATTTCATCTGTATCAAAACCAAATTTTCAACGTTATTATAAAGATATAATTCTACCTTATCGACAACGAATAAAATCACTTCGTATAACAAATTCATTTACTGCTGATATTATTTTATCATCACATGATAATATTTCAAAACTAACTCGACTTGAAACACTTATTTTTACTAACATTTCACCATCGTATATTCGTAATCTTCAATATTTAATTAATCTACCAAAATTATCTTCATTAACCATCACTAATGATGGTTATACTAAGACTGAAGAAACTGAATTTTGTCATCAAATATTTCAATTACCAGTTTTAAAATATTGTAATATATTATTGGGAATGGATTATACGTTGTTAGTATCATCATTACCATTTGCTACCAATAAATATAGTTTAATTGAAGATCTTGTTATTAAAAATTATATTCAACTTGATACACTTTATACTATATTATCATATACTCCTCATATTCGTCGTTTATCGCTTTCTTATTTAGTCGAACCTGAAAAAAGACAAAATATGACGTTTTCAATTACATTGAACCATTTAACATATATATCTCTTAAATTAACTTCTTTCGATTTTCATCACTTCGAATTATTGGCTAAAGATCTCTTCCATAATCTCCAAGTATTACGTCTCTATGCCAGTAGTGAAATAACATATTTAGATGCAAATCGATGGCAAAATTTAATATTGTCTCATATACCAAATTTAACGATATTTGATTTTCAATATGTTTATTTTTTATGGTCTAAGAAAGATATGTTGCCTTCTTACAAAAATCTGATACAAAAATTTACTTCTTCATTTTGGATCGAACGACAATGGTTTTTTTCTACTCAATATCCTTATAGAAAAAATGCAGGCAATCTTATTTTCTTTTCAGTAAAACCATATAAGTATAAGATAAATTTATTTATGTACTATAATCTATTTTTAATATTTTTAGAAGAACAACATTTAGATTAAGTGGAATAATGAAAGAAAAATTAAATTTTAATTCTGTTCATCATATTAACATAGACAATATACACGTAATCAGGAGT